ATACAATCAAAGAAAGCTGTAGAAAAACACAGACGATGAAAACAAAGACGCAAAGGCTTTCCACACCAACCTGTTTAAGTGTCAGTTCGAGTCTAACGTGGTGAATGAGTTCGGCTAGTATACTGTACGCCAAAGGCCGAAGTCCCTCAAAGCATGCTCGACCTGTTCCTACAAGAACTCTAAATGCACGACCCGTGTTATGCGAAGAATAATCATGAATGTGCAGACCTTTCATCTAATAGCTTGTCCATCAGAGGAAACAACCCTCTTTGAAAATCAGTGGCCAAAACATGACGCGTAGCGATTAGAAGTTCCTGTAAGCAGCGTAAGATAGTGAGATACAACAATGGGGGTGTAAAATTTTTGATAGACCAGACCTTTCGGATGGTGACTGAGTCAGGACACGAGATTAACAAGTTCACAATACTTCTAGACATACTCTCTTCATGTGGACGGATAAACTCGGCAAAGCTCTTCAGCAAGTAGCACAAAAAAGATACTGTCTGCCAAGAGAAAAACAAGCACTTAACCCCCATAAAAAAAATTCACAAGAAATACATACCTTCACTTGACCCGCTTTAAGGTCCACAAAGTGACCCTTCATCGTCGGATGAACCTGGTGTGGTGCTGGTCCTGGCACTGCGATGGCATTAACCATGAGCGGAAGAAGAACAGGAATGTTGCTCGGAACATATCGCGGATAGATTTGGAAGAGGTACATGACGATGAGCGGGCACTCCGAAAGTATTTTAAACGATCGCGTACTTGGATTCAGTTGCCCGGAGATACTTCCCCTTTGAGATCCCACAAAGCCAACGTTCTGTGGAGCAGCCGCGGCGGCGGCGGCAGCGGCAGCAGCAGCAATTTGGACATCACTGTTGGTCTCTTCAAAGAAGTAGCTTACGGTGCTCTTGAAGTTTTGGTAAACCTGGCAAACAAAACCAGCCAAAGAAACTCTTTGACGAAGAAAAAAATCTCTCCGCATACCTTGCAAACGAAATCGAGGAAAGGCTGCACGTCCGCCTCCAGCGCCGGGCGGAAGTTCTTGTGGAGATCAAAGATGATGCGCATACAAATGAGCCCATTCTCTTCGTTGTCCGTGCCGAGAACTTGCATCGACAGCTTCAAGAGATCGGAGACGAAGGGCCGGATGACCTCACTGTGCGGCAGCCGGTTGAGAATCTCGATAATCACAAACCGGAGCTTGTGCTCGATGGAATCGCTGGTCTGGGGCTTGGTGGTGCTGAGAAGCAGCGACGAGAAGACCCGGAAGTAGTTCTTGAGGAAATTGAGGTACTCGGATGTCTGGACGATCTCGATGCTGTCCCGGACCTCGGTGGCGAGCTGATGCCGCTGCTGCATCGCTGAAAATTTCCACGAATCAAGAGAAAATCCAAGAGAAAACGGATGCGCGTACACAAATCTGGGTCCAGGAACTTGCTGGCATGCTGCTCGAAGTTGTTGATCGGGATCATCGCGCTCCCCCGTCCTCCTCCACCCGGGCGGAAGACGAAAAACCCTAGCTCCGATTAAACCCTAACATTTAATTCACATTTAGGCTAAGCCAGGAGGCCAGGGCGATGGTTTCACAGCGGCTTGAAGTAAGTGGAGTCGGGATCTCCGGCCATTTTCTCCGGGTAGCTATCGGCCCAGGCCTGGAATTCATATCTACGCTTGCGCCGCTCGCTCTCTGGGAGAGTTTGGACATCCTCCTTGACGAATTCGGGCAGCTCGGTGCCCTCGGCCGCGAATGCCTGGAATCTCGTCATGCGAGGGATTCTCAGCTCCTCAAACCTGCGTAGCGGGGATCGATCGATCAGCTCCAGAGGTATGAATGAGAGAAAACCCTTCCTTACCTTGCAATGGCTCTCTTTCTTTCCTCACCGGTTGCTATTGCTGCTGCCAGGAGCTCTGATAGCTGGTGTGCGTCTTCAAACGCTGTTCTAGCGCCTTGTCCGGGACCCCAATGCATCGCATGAGCCGCTGGAAAGGAGAAGAAGAAGAAAACAAAAGTTTCTCGACAAGCTTTCTAAGAAGCCGAGTGACTGACCGTCTCCAATGAGAAGAACGCGCCCGTCAAGATCGCTCCAAGACTCGAGTGGTGGATTGTCGATGATCCTCCGCTCGTAAATCAGCTCCGGACTCGTCGCTTCCACGGCGATTCTCAGTGGCTCCCAGACTTCCGGTGGCTCCAACTTTCGGATTTCTTTGAGAGCTCGTTCTTTGGCAGGAGGCCCTCCAAATGCACCACCAATCGGGATGTCTTCGTTGTACATCCGGACCACCCACAAGGTATAGCCTTCGCCTGTAAGTAAATACGCATGATCCACTTGTATCTTCTCCTCTAAACTTTAGTGTTTTCGCAGAGAGCCAGTTACCTGAGTCCGCGAGATGAACGAATGTTGCGTTGTCCTTGATCATGAAAATCTGATCCTTCTCGTGGACCTTGAAGAACCTGGTCGTATGTCCAAGGTAAGCTCTACTGTTGCCGGTAAATTGACTTACTTGGAATCGGGATTGTAGACGAGAGCGTTCCAGTTCATCAGGTGCAAGTCCCTGGGTTTATCTCCCACCATGATCTTCCTCACAGCGGAGTGGACTCCGTCTGTTCCAATCACCAAGTTGGCATGGATTGTCTTGCGAGAAGTCCGGCCTTGATCATCTCGAACTTCAAACTCCAACTCGACTCCATCCTGTGCAAGTCAGTTGTATGATTTTTATGCTGTCTCTCATTCACTTCCTTGCCTTATCTTTTGCAGCACTGTAGGAGACGAGTTTGTGCGAGCAGTGAATGTTAGAACTGGGAACCATGTCAGCCAACATCTTTCGTGCTTTTCTCCAAGGTACCATAAACACCGCCGGGATTTCTCCTTCCTTCATCTCAATCTCCTGCTTCTCGCCTCCAGTAATGTCAAGAATTCTAAAGCTCTTTATCTGCGTTCCTGCAGATTTCATGGCCTCCTCCAGCCCCGGCTGGATTCCGTCCAGAGCTCGCCCTCCTGCGAAGAGTCTTACAGATCGAAATAATGGAAGATAAAAAAACAAGGTACCATTCTTTCCAATACTTATCCCTGTAGCAGTATCCGCTCGAATGCCATCACTCTTTTCAAACAAGTGAGCAGTGATTCCTCTGTTTTGCAGGCCAATCGCGAGTGCCAACCCGCACAGCCCCGCTCCGATTATTGCGACGTCCACAGATTCCATCGATGAAACAAAGAAACACTGATCGAAATTTCCAGAAAGCAGTCTTTTTCACGCAAAGCAAACTTACCCGTGCCAGTCTTCCAGATGGCACACGTAACCTTCCATTATATTTAATAGTATCTTCTCATCTTAACTCGGTCTAAGCTTTTCACTCGGTTTATCTTTCTAGAAAGTCGGCAGCGAAGCAAGCAAGAACCTCAGCGAGGCGCGGTGCTCTAAAAGATCGGTTTTTGGGCCTCCGAGGCTTTGAGGGAATTCTTCGATCGAGAGAGGATGGAATCGAATGGGCTGAGCTGGGCGGATCAGTGGGACTACAAGATGAACGACAAGGAGCGAGCGGAGCAAATGAAGATGGACAAGAGCAGGAGCAAGGAATCGTCGTCAAACAAGGGCGCTAAGATCAAGGCGGCGGCGAGCCAGGGAGTGGACAAGGCTAAGATCGTGGCTGCTGCTAGCGCGAACAAGATCAAGGCAGGCACCTCCACTGGAATTCACTGGATCAAGGATCAGTACCAAAAGAGGAAGGCAGCCAAATGATAGAGCACTCCTCCTGCGCGAGATTTATATTTTTTGGGAGATTCTTTTGTATAGAACCATTCTTCGTGATCAGTATGTGTTCTTCGTGTGTGTGTATAATTGAAAAAAAATCGTTTCCTCGTCTTTGTGGCCATGATCTAGTGCGAAAATTTTGATTTTGAGGCTAGTCAATGAAAGCAGATTGCCGAAAACGAAGGGGAAGAACAAAGTATTGTCAACGAATCTGTAAGAATAACTGGGAAAGAAACAAAAAACTGGTATGAGAATGAATTATTAATCCGTCACCATTACAAAAACGATGCCATTTTGGTTGGTTGATCCGCCGCAGAAACGCGTTGCTTGCCTCCTTTTTCACTGCTTGCCGATCACGTCCTCGATCAAATCGGCAGCGTCTTGCACGGTGACAATCTTCTCGGCTCCCTCCTCGCCCAGGCTGATCTTGAAGTTCTCCTCGAGTTGCATCATCACCTCAACCTTCGGAGACGAGACCAATCTTCCCAGTTAGAAGACGAAGAGAAGGAGCTACTAAAGATCCATTACCGTGTCGAGCGAGTCGGCTCCAAGATCAGCGAACTTGGCGGCCGGAGTGACGCTGGACTGCTCGATCGAGAGCTGACTGGCGATGATCTTCTGGACTGTAGCAAGAGTCTCTGGCTTTGCCTGTGAAAGAAAAGAGAATCACACACTCAAGAACTCACAATCACCTGGAGAAAAAATTCCAAGAGATAGAAGTATACCGCGCATGAGATGAGGGAGAGACCCCGCTTGCTTCTCAAGACAATGGCGCTGGGCTTGAATCCGAGCACCGGGGAAGCTCTTCCAAGGGATCCGACGCTAGCGACGGGCACGGCAGGCACCATGGAGCAGGATCCAGCGACAGCGGCCATTGCTAGAGCACCAAAAGCAGGAAAACAGATCTTAGGGCTACCTCGCTCGATCGATCGATCGATCGGCGTCACAATCTTACCAGAGCGAGACGAGATTACTCCGAAATGCGGAAGGAAATGGCTCGCGGATGCCGCGTGGATCACGAAGAACTGCGAGAGAGGGCGCCTCAAACCCTGGCTGAAAGCTCGGATTATATGGAGGAACAAAGCTCTTGACGGACCATCCAACCCAAAGAGCATGCAAAAGCGAGAATAGAGGACGAATCTCCACCGCAAATGGAAACTAGGGTATCCTGGCCGTCCAATCCTTAACAACCTGTTTGGGGTCTTAATCAAATACGAAGATTCCCTCCACTGAGGTTTAGGGTTTTACTCCATTCTAGGTTCTCTCGGGCGCGGCAAGAATGTGGATGCTCCAGCAGCAAGCGGCGATGCCCTCCTCCGGATTTGCGCCTCCTCCAGCTCGCATTCTCTCGCCCGGCTCCTGGCGCCTCTGCTCGATCAAGCGATCCATCGCGGTGAGAGCGAAATCCTCTGGCGTCGATACCCTGTCGCCCGCTTCCAAGCCGATTTCTTCCGGTATGTTCTGAATCCAATTTCGATCCTCTCGCGAATTTGGCATAATCTTGCAGATCGTCGCTCCTGGGATCCTACTCTCAGTGAAGCCGATCCCGAGATGTTTAAAATCATCGGATCGGAGAGGCAGCGGCAATTCCGTGGCTTAGAGCTCATTGCCTCGGAGAATTTTACGTCCCGAGCTGTGATGGAAGCTGTTGGTTCGTGCTTGACAAACAAGTACTCGGAAGGGCTTCCTGGGAAAAGGTTTTGCCTCGCTCTTTTTTTTTTTTTGCTTGAAGTTTAACGAGTTGTGGATAGGTACTACGGTGGCAATGAATACATTGATGAAAGCGAGACTTTATGCCAGAAGAGAGCCCTCCATGCTTTCAACCTTGATCCCGTTAAATGGGGTGTTAATGTCCAGCCGCTGTCTGGCTCGCCGGCAAATTTTGCAGTCTACACAGCGCTTTTGCGTCCCCATGACCGTATTATGGTAGCTCACCAAACTGCGAGTTTTTTCTTGTTCTGTTTGACTAACTCATTTGTTCCGTGTTCTTCTTGTTAGGGACTAGATCTTCCACACGGCGGACATTTGTCCCATGGCTTTATGACCGAGAAGAGGAGAGTGTCAGCAACATCGGTGTACTTCGAATCCATGCCATATCGCCTCAACGAAGCAACAGGTGCGTGCGGCAGCTTTTCCGTGGAGCCCTTCATTTTCAACTTGGCTTGGTCAATTGCACAGGTATAGTGGACTACGATAAGCTCGAAGAAAATGCTGCCGTGTTCAGGCCAAAACTTATTATAGCTGGCGGTAGTGCTTATCCAAGGGAATTCGACTATGCCCGGATGCGGAAGGTTCGAATTTTCCAGTTGATTCTTCAAATGAGATTAAACTATCACTTCATAGGTGGCAGACAGCGTTGGTGCCTTCTTGATGATGGATATGGCTCATATCAGCGGGCTCGTGGCTGCGGGTCAACTTGCAAACCCTTTTGAGTATTGTGATGTGGTTACAACTACTACTCACAAGGTTGATTGCAGCTTATAGATTTCTCTGACGTATATGGCTCACCGGTGCTTTTGCAGTCTTTAAGGGGCCCTCGTGGAGGAATGATATTTTTCAGGAAAGATCCAGTTTTGGGGCTGGACTTGGAAACCTCTATAAACAATGCAGTATTTCCGGGTCTGCAGGTGAGCGCACCTTATCTCGGGAATGGCATTTTCTTACTTAGTTTGTCCACCAGGGCGGGCCTCACAATCACACCATTGCTGGACTGGCGGTGTGCCTGAAGCATGCTGCAACCGAAGAATTCAAGCAGTATCAAAAGCAGGTACCAACTTTCAACTTGCCGGAGAGAGCCGTTTCAAAGTGTGATGTTTGTTTTAGGTGATTGCGAATTGTCAAGCGCTTGCAAAAACGCTGATGGACTTGGGATTTACGCTCGTGTCTGGCGGAACCGAAAATCACCTAGTCCTTGTTGATTTGCGTCCTTTGGTAAATTGCACTTTTGGCCCGTGCTTTGGTACGCTACTGACTTGGCGCTGTGGTGTCCAGGGAATTGACGGTGCCAGAGCTGAAAAAGTCCTGGATCGTGCTTCCATCACACTCAACAAAAACTCTGTACCAGGTTTGACGTTGCGATTGATACGTGGATCCTCCTAAAATCACGGCCTTGCTTAGGGGACAAGAGTGCGTTAGTTCCAGGCGGTGTACGCATCGGCACACCCGCATTGACAACGAGAGGACTCAAGGAAGATGACTTCATCAAAGTGGCGGGATTCATTCACGAAGGCGTCCAAATCGCCCGACAGCTCAAGGAAACAGTAAAGCAAGGGAAAATGAAAGAGTACGTCCAGGCACTCGAATCTCAAGACTCTCCGGTCCAGGCGAGCATAGCTGATCTACAAAACCGAGTGGAAGCGTTCGCCAAACAGTTTCCCATACCTGGAGTAGGCACAGAAGAGCTAGTGCATTGACTCTTAACGTTCTGGTAAAGGTATGTGTGGAGTGTGTGTCCGGTAAGAGGCTTCCAACGTGTTACTCTTGTTAAGGACTTCCATCCTCGCTCGCATCTTCGTTTTCCTTCGTGGCTAACCTTTGTTTTGACCGCCAAAGTATTTGTACAAGCCGTATCCAGCAGCCAAAGCAACGAACAAGCCTATGGTGGGGGTGAAAGACGGGTACACGGTCTTGACGAGAAACTCGTCCCACTCCTCGGGTAAGAAGCCTGCATTAAGCATTTGTTATTGGATTAACCGTCTTATCTTGATAGAGTTGTGATGGAGCCGAGAGAAGTAGAAAGCTCTACTCACCAGAAGCTGCAAGTGCGAGACCCTCGAGGATGACAACACCGACGAGGCCGAGCAAGGCAATCTCGGCAAAAGTCTCGAGCTGCTGGGTTTGTGGATCAGGCGGCGGAGCTACGAATGGTTTTGTCGGAGCAGGCCTTCTTCGAATTCCGGAAGAAGAAGACGTATCAGGTACTTCACCAGGTGGATTCGGGGATTTAGAGCTCTTTTTCTTGGGAGAAGTGGATTGGGATTCCCCAAAGCCAGTGCCTGGTGGCTTCTTCTTGCTGGATTTCTGGAGGATTGGCTCTGGCTCTTCAGTGGAGAGAGCTCTCGCTGCTAAATCTCTACTTCTTTGGGATTTTAGAGACCTGGAAGTGGAGCTCTTGAAGAAAGGAGCTATCGAGCTGCTACTAAATCCACCGCATGAAACACATGTAATAGAAGAAGATGGCATCCTTCCTTGTTTTGTTCCTTCTTCCACAGCTCTATCTTTTCTTTTTCTCTTCGCATCGCATTTAGTCCGGGGTTCGATTCCTGTCCATAGTGAAATTGTTAAAACAAATCGCAGCCGTTGGTGCTAGGGCTTTTGGTTATCGTCCGGGCGCTAGGGTTTTGTGGAGGCGCTGAGGTTTGCGGCCGGCGATCACGCGCATCAGAGGTAGGCGCGCTGCTCTTGCGCTTTCGTATGAAATCTCCTCTCTTTCTCCTCCTCAGTGCAAGATGGTGCGCGCCAGCGTCCTGAACGATGCCCTGAAGACCATGTACAATGCGGAGAAGCGTGGCAAGCGCCAGGTCTTGATCCGCCCCTCGTCGAAAGTGATCATCAAATTCCTCGCTGTGATGCAAAAGCACGGTAAGATCTTCGCGAATTCCTTTTTGGTTGTTTCTTCATCCTCTCGCGCATCAGGCTACATCGGCGAGTTTGAGTGGGTCGACGATCACAGATCCGGGAAGATCGTCGTCGAGCTAAACGGCAGGCTCAACAAGTGTGGAGTCATCAGCCCGCGCTACGATATCAGCGTCAAGGAGCTCGAGGCCTGGACTGCTCGGCTTCTTCCATCTCGCCAGGTTTGATTTTGAGAGACGAATCGATGGCTTGGTGCAAAGAAGTAACGATTTTCTCTTCGATCTCTGGCTCAGTTTGGTTACATTGTGCTGACAACATCGTCCGGTATCATGGATCACGACGAAGCGAGGAGGAAGAATGTTGGTGGCAAGGTCCTCGGCTTCTTCTATTGATGCAAGCAAGCTTTCCCGAAGATCAGAAAAACTATGGTACACACCTGTGCTCTCTCTAGCCGAGCACAGTCGACGTTGTATTTCCAAATTTTGTGAGGCTTGCGTTCAACTTTTTAACTTCACATTTTGGGTCTTGTTTTCTTCTCTCCCTTTTGTCGCTCCAGAGTTTCTAAGCTAGAGAATCTCGCGACGCAAGCATCTGACGAGCGTAAAGTTTTTCTCAAAGATTTCGATCTCGTTAACAAGCGCTTTGTTTCTCCCTTGATTTTTTCTTTTGTCGGCAGGAGTATGGAAAGATCGAAGACTATTTCTACGCGGATTTCCGGCTGACACGATTCGAACTCTCCCGTGAGTCAAGCACGTCCATCTCAGAGGTGGGGCGCTCTCTTGCGCAATGCTTTTTGGCTGTTTGGATTTCTTGGGTCTGCTATTCGTTTTCTTTGCCCTCTGTCTCTCTTTTCTCTCCTTTCCTTCCTGATGGTGGTGTTGGGTGTGACAGGAGCGCGCGAGGAAAGGGGCCGTGTACACAGTGCAGTAGGAGAGCAGCGTGCGAAAGCCATCTCGATGATTTCATCAGAGCCACACAAGAGAAGCGAGAGGAGGTAAGTTAGACCAGACTAAAACTCTTCCGGTCCGAATTCGTATCATTGTACCCGAGTTCTTCGCTTTGCAAATCTCTCACGCGTGGAACAGCTTTAGTTTTTTTTGTATTTTTCCTCCGTTTTCAATCCTTTCTCTTCTGAGTTTGCAGGAAGGGTAGGTTGATCACAGGACTGGCCTGGGACTCTGGAAGATCTGGAACAAAAGGATTGTTGAACCCGGCCAGGTTTGTACGGGTTTGCTCGCCCAGGAATTCTAATTCTTCCTTTTCCCAGGTCAATTATCTCCACGAGTTTGGAGTTTGGCCGGACTTGGAAAAGCTTGGATCCATCCGAACGCTCTCACGCATTTCGTAAACTCCAGGCAGGGAGTTTGTCCGCTTCGCTTCGCGATGTGTACTCCATCACTCGCTGGGTTCGTTTGGATGGTTTCTCGGATCAAACAGCTCTTGTTGGATGCATCAGGCATTTTCTCGGACAATCCCAATCTTTTGTCCGCAGGTCGAAGGTTTGGTTTGTTTTTTTTTTTTTTTTTTGCCCCTTTGGATTTCTCCACGCTAAAGGGGTGTTCCCGTGTGATATCCAGATCTCTCTCGTGTCAGCTCGACAATGAATCGCGCCTCGCGACGACGTAATCAAGGAATTGAAGGGGACGGCCGCTGTTTGCGATGGCACGCATCAAATCGCGCGCGCAGCAAGCACCATTTTTTAACTCCCCGTGAAAACAACGGGGAGCGAATATTCCTCCACGCTGGAAAAAACAAACAAAGGGATGAGATACGAGCTACGTACGCATGTACGCAAACAGGGCACATGTAGATACGGGACATATCTCGCCGGGCCAATGGGAGAGCGCCATTTGATTCGGGGCCAATCACACTGTCGGCCTCAAGATCCGCTTTACATTCTCCACCGGCGGCGGCGCCACGCGCGGCATATTCCGGCCGGCAAGCGGCATATTCACCCACCGCGAATGGACAGGTTGGATTACCCTTAGATTAAGCGCGAATCTCCCACATGGTTTGGAGGGGGGAAATGTTTGTTTGGCATTAATGCGGGCAAGGATACAAAGATTAGGTCGTGAGCGTTTGATGTTCCACATGGAAGGATGAACTGGCTATTCTCGTTGCGTTATTTTTATTTAATTGCTGGGCGCGAGGGGACAGCCAGCCCTATCCCTATCTCGATTCGGCATGTGGTGGCCTTGTAACAGACAAAACTGGCTAAGATTTGTCTATGTCCATTTTTAAGGGGAAAGATAAAGGTATCGCGGTATACATTAAAATAGACGGGGATCCAGTTTAAAAAACCCTAGTTTCTCTATTTGCAAAGAAAACGCGTGATGATCTATTCGATCTTAGTGTCTGGGTGGAGTTCCTTGTTTTCGTGGGCATCGATGACGATTCTTTTGATTCCGTCCAAGTTGCTTCGTGTGAGTGTGTGTCGTTATACTGGAGAGATCTTCGATTTACTAAAGCACAAGGAGTTTCAACAAACTACGCTTGCTGCGAGATTGATCGATCGACCACCCGGCTGATCGAGACCTAACGAGACCGACATTTCACCAAACATGATTTTACCACTCCTCGAATCCGGCGCAAACGAAACTTATAATCGCGGGGCACAAAGGCCGATAACAACACACACGATTTCTCAAAACTGCGCATGATTTGGAGAGAGATGCCAACACTGAATTATCATGTTGGCTTGTTTGAGTAGTTTGTTTGGTTGGCAGCTTTGACCTGCGCCCTAAAACCTTTCATGCCACGGAGATTATTCCGTTTGGATATTCTCCGGAGAGGAAGACAAGGGGACCTTTGAGATCGTGTAAAAGCCAGCAAATCTAGAAGACAAGCGATCCAAGACCTAGCGGGAAATCATCACACCACCACCGCCACCACATTGATCCACCACTATTCACTTGCACATCGGGTCAATCAATCCCTCTGGCGTGATCATGATACACGAGAATATAAGAGCTGCAAACGCAAGCAAGGAGGAGTCACTAGATAGATCCCATGAGCCGGAAAAGAAAGAAAAAAAAGTAAAAGAGGGGAGGACTTGTTCTTGACAAGAGGAGACGACCCAATCTCCCGGGTCCACAGTTTTGGGAGCATTCACTCATAAAAAGACCACCAAGAAGGGGAAAAATATCTATACATCCAAAATGCCCCTCTTTTTTTTGGTGTTTCTCAAACAAATCCTATGATCCACCACCCCCTCCACCACCACCACCACCACCATCTCTTTGTTCCTCCAGTGGGGCATGGCCAACAGCATTTATATAATATTTACAACAACATTTACAACATTTGCTAGAATTTCATACCGGCAAACAGTTCTTCGCAAGTTGCAATGGTCAAACCACACACACACACACAAGAGAAGCTATGGAGGAAGATCCCCCTTTTGCATAAACAAGAGAACTAGTATCCTATTATTGAGTTTGTTATTATGGAGTTTGTTAGAAATCGTGTTATAAAGTTAACATTCTCCGGATGTGTACAAGGCTCCATATAGAAATTGTAAATCTAATCTATCTCTCATACACTACCAGTGTGTCAGCTTTGCAATACGATTGTGAGGCCTTTGAGAAATAGATAGATATGCATACATGCAACTATTTAAAGGAGGGGGGGAAGAGAATATTCCAGTGGCACCTAATCTATCCGGATAATCTGAATTCATGCGCATATTCGGTTTGTTGTGGACCACGCAAGATTCTCGCGGGCAGGGGGCACGTGGCGGCCTCCGAGTGGTACAGCGGGGTTGCGGTAGAAACGACGTGCGTTACGGATTTTACCCGGGATCATCCTTGGTGGTAGGAGGAGACGAGGAGGGGAAGAGCGTGAAAACAAATCATTTTTTTCCTGGTGCTAGCCTAGAGGTTTTTACCCTCCCTCCCAGCGTTGAGAAAGATTCGCGGTGCCAGCTCCAATTTAGGGCAGTGATTAGGGCTAAGAGAAGATCGTTCGGGCAGAGTAAGAAGAAGACGAGAAAGAGAGAGAAAAAGAAAATGGGGGAAGGAGGAGGAATGAATGCCGTGTGCGTGCGTGCGTGTGAATGAAGGAGGTGTGGTGGTGTTCTTCCGGAGCTAGGAATCGCGAGGAAGCCGCGACGCGCGGGATGCATTGACCGTGGCAGATGGATTCGTCCCCGCCGCCGCGATTGGGAAATATTTCGAGATCTTTCTTGTAGCTAGGCGGCGAGGAAGGCGCTGCGCCGCGGCCGCGCTGCTGCCAATCAATCAATCAGGCTTGCGACGATTGATTCCTCGATCCGGAGCTTGTGGACGGCGAGCGGCGAGAGAGAGATTCTGGCCTCTAGGCGCTCCGGCCGTGGCATTCATCCATCCCGTGGAAGAACTCCTCTCTTTCTTGTCATTTCCTGGCCACGCCTTACAGTAATCGCCACACATGCGGTGTTCCCGAAGAAATTCCACGCATGCTGGTGACTTTTCTTCGTCGGCTCCTCGCCACTGGCTGCTTCTTCTCCGCATCTTCTTCCAGTCCTTGGCAGTAGAAAGAATTGGCAACGGCGCGCCTTGGATTCGGGGCCCCGAGATCTAGAGATCTTTCCAAGAGATCAAGCCACGGGAGCTCCAGATCTACCCAGCGAGCAGCCGTGTTCTTCCTCTCTTTATCGATGGCAGGGACAGCGCCATATCTCCGCTGTTATTCCATTCGCTGTTCTTCCGTGGAGCTCTTCTGGGTAAAGCGCTTGGAATTCTTCTCTTCGCCATGCACAGGTCTGAAAGAAAAATCTATTTTTCTTCCCTTCTTCCTCTTTGGTGTGGTGTGGTGTGGTGGTGTGTATGTGTTTTTTTTTTCCTTTTCTTTGTTTTATGCTTGTTCTGAGCACCATGTTTTGGATGGAAGCAGGGGATTGCGGCATTTGTGTGTAGGAGACGCGAGAGGTGGAAGGCTTGGATATGGAAATGGAGATGGTCAGGAAGATTATCCTCGAGCAGGAGGCCCAGTTCCGCCAACAGGTCAGTCAGATCTATCCATTTTGCGCAAAGTGAGGCGAGATGTTCTCATGGATGGTGTTCGTCTCCTTGCGCAGGTCCAGGAGCTCCACAGGGTCTATCGTGTCCAGAAGCTGCTGCTCCAAGACCTCCGGCCGCCTCGTGCGATCGACAGCTCGAGGCTGGAATTGGCATCTGGCTACGATGGCAGCGGCAAAAAGAGCGATGCCAAGCCCCGGCGGAGGACTTTCGACTTGGAGCTGCCAGCCGAGGAGTACATGGATGTGGAGATGGAGGAGCCCAGCAGCAACGCCGCCACCACCACCACTGCCAACAACAACAATAACAGCAGCAGCGCCGCTTGTGATTTGGTGTCAAGGCTGAGCGCTGCCGCGGCTGCCACTGCTGCCACTGCTGCTCCAGCTCCAGCCATGAACAGTGTGAAGAATCTGGATTCGTCAGCGGCTGTTCATGAGAAAGTGGGCTCGCAGCAGCAGATCGGCTGGAACAGCGGCCGAGACGGAGAGAGTGAGATCTTCCAGATGATAAAGCGTGCCAAGAGCTCGGGCTCGGATGGAGGAGGTGGAGGTGGAGGTGGAGGATTTAAGCAGCAGCAGCAGCAGGTTCTTCCGTGTGTGACCCAAGGGATTCTGGGTGGGATCTGGGGGTACGGCTTTGACAACACTGGAGGAGCTCAAGCATTAAGGAATGCTGCGGCGGCTGCTGTGGAGAAGAGCAGAGCTCCGCCCAATGGATTTCACCTCGCCGCAAGCGATAAGGTAGTGGTGCCTCCTATCTAATCACAATTTGATTCCTTCTACTTTGCTAACTCGGGTCTTTGTTTCTCTTTCTTTTTTTTTGTTTGTGCTCCTTCTCCATTTGTTTTTATTCTCCTCGTGCAGGTATCCAAGCCACAGCAGCAGCAGCAGCAGCAGCAGCAGCAGGAAGTTCTTTCCATGAATTCAAAGGCAGCGGAGAATCAGCATGTTGTGTTCTTGGAGCCGGGCCCCAACAACCGGTTCGCAGCCGAGAACGGGAAAGGACTGGGAGGATCTTCATCATCGTCCTCCGGCATCGAGAACTTGAACCCGTTCTTCGCGTCCGCGGCAGCAGCAGCAGCAGCAGCCATGGAACGGGGTCCGTCTGCGGAGGACAATGGAAAGTTTTTCGGTGCTTCGCTGGGTGGCCTGCAAAATCACGTGAGCTACTCGAGCCAGGGAATTCTGATCCCGTCCACCAACATGGCGAGAAGGGAGCCAGTGCCGCCACCGTCGTCGTCGTCGTCGTCGTCGTCGGCTTTCATGGAGGCTTCTCCCCCCGGCGGCCTGGGACTGTGGTGGAAATCAAACTCCAACTATTACCACCAGCCGCATCAGCCACAGTACCAGCAAGTGGCCGTGTTACAGGCGGGGACACCTGCGCAGTCTGTCCAAGTTGCGTGGCAAGGTGGCTCGGGCTTTGCGACCACGAGTCCGAGTCCGAGCTCGTATCAGCAGCAACACCATCACGCGGCGGTGCTCGGGGTGGTTCCTCCTCCTCCTCCTCCGGCTGCTCCTCCTCCGGCGAACTATGCGAGCAACAACAACAAAGAGGAGAGTGGTGGGGGGAGTGGCTGCTGGTTGAAAGGGGCGAGCAGTAATGCGAGCACTGCTCCCTCGCCGGGTTTTCTTTACTCGGCTTCAACGCCTCCGAAACCGCCGTTTAAGAAACCTCCCAAGCTCATACTCGATGGAGCGACCATGGAGCTTAAGCTGGCTCCGCTGGACAGAGACGGACCACCGGTTGTGGGCTTGTTGCGTCAACACGGTGACGAGACAGCAGCGGCAGCTTTAGTGGTAGCAACAGATCAGCGGAAGAGAGGGGACAGTACGGAGAGCCCAGTGAATGGGAGCGAGGTTGCAAAGCTCGAGGCTGGCGAGCACAAGGACGAGAGCAAGCCGAAAGGCTTGGATCTGAATCCTCCGGGGGGATTGGGCTTGAGCTCGAGCGACAAGCCCAATTCCGGTCTGCTGGACGTGGTCAAGCCGATCAAGCAGGATGCGCAAGCAGTGGAGAGGGATGAAGTGTTGCAAGAGAGAAGAGGTGGCTCCAGGGACGAGGCTGATTTGGGAAGGTGTGAGGAGGCTCCAAGCTGTAGTTGCTCGCAGCCAGGATGTCCGATTTGTGACACCGGTAGCGTGGAGGATGTACAGGTGAAGCAGCGGTCCGGGAAGATCGAGAAGGTTGCGGTTAGAAGCTCTTCAGAGCAGCAGCAGCAGCAGCAGCACAAGGCCAGGGAAGAAGTTCGAGACAGTGCTGAGCCGCCGGCGGCGCCACCTACGAGCAGCAAGAAGCGGCGATTCAAGCTGGTGAGTTCCAAAGACTTGTTGGCAACAAGGGAATCTGACAACGCTACTACTAACGGGAAGAAGCGGCCGGAAGCCATTGCCGAGGAGCTAGATTCGCGGACAGGGGAGCTGTCCAGGGATGGGGAGGGCGAGAAGAAGAAGAGGAAGCATCTGGTGAATCCCAAGAGCTTGAAATCGTCGTCGTCTTCCAAGTCTCACTCGAACCACCAGGGTGTCAAGGAGAAGGAGAGCTCCACGCTGAAAGCTTCGCCGTCCGGGAGCCGTCACAAGGAGAAGGATAAGGACAAGGACAAGGCGGGGAGCAATGGCTACTCGTTCCTTGCGGACAATCCGGACGACGGTGCCAACTTGGCGGCGGAGATCCTCGTCAGCCTGGCTCCCGCGAAGCGAGATCACGTCCAGCCGGAGAAGAACGGCGACAGTGGAGTGCTCCGCCTGCATCACAAATCCAAGAGGCGGCTCATCGAAACGCTGCCTACAGGTGTGGCAAACCATGCCGCTCCTCCGGCCGCCGCCGCCGCCCCTCCAAAGCCATCGCCAGCGGTAGCGGAGCCTGTGAAGGACGAGAGCAAGAAGAAGAAGAAGAAGAAGAAGAGCAAGAACAGCAAGACGATAGTAGCCAAGTTCCAGGAGAGTGTGGTTGCTGCGGAGGATCCACCGAAGGCCTCGTTCAAATCCGTCAAGGTGGCCCTGACACAATGCGAAGGTGGTGGCGGTGGTGGCGGGGGTGGAAATGGTGGAGCGGCGGCCGAAGCTCCAAAGTCCTCGTCCAAGATCAAGAAGAAACTGGTAACCAAGAAGCAGCAGCAGCAGCAGCAGCAAAACGATCACCAACAACACCAACATCACACTCCATCATCCAGGAGCTCCAAATCATCAGCCGGAGCAGCCAGAGATCTCTCCTCCACCACCAACATCACCAAGGCCGTGAATTCGTCCTCGAAGCCACGGGATCACCGAGATGGAGGAGGCCACGCTCATCCTCATCACGAGACCAAAAGGATCTCCTCCGCGTCCTCGAACTACGGCAGCAACAATTCGACGTCCGAGCAGGAGTCCCTGGATCGACTGAGCCAGCAGCAGCAGCACCAAAACTCTGGCGAGAATTCGTCCGAGGAGATCATGGGGAAGGAGAGCGACGAATTTGAGGAGGAGTGGTCGAGACGAAGCTGGGGTCCGGCGGCACGAAGAAAGAGGATGAGGAGAAGCAGGCCCGGCTTGTGATGATCCTCGTCCTCGAGACAAGAGAGAGAAGAAAAAAAATTCACGAAGAGCCAATGGTTGTAAAAAGTAAATTTTCCCTTCTTTTTGTCCTTGCTCATTTTTACTACTATTAATTCTTTTGTTTGTTCTTTTCACCCTTGGCTTAAATATTTTAGGGCTCTAGCGAGCTCTGGCTATGGCGATGGCGGAGAGGAGGCGGATTTCGATCGATTGGTGAGTCTTGCGCGATGGAGTTCTGCTCGGAGCTCATGTCTGTGGCGGCGATCCAGCAAGGGTTTTCGGTGTCGCACAGATCGCGGCTGCTGAGTAGCATCGGGCACAGGGGATCGGCGCTGAGGCCGCAGCGCTGCTGCCGGCGCTTGAAATGCGAGGGCTCGGGCAGCGCCAGCTCGTCGTCGGCGGGCGAGAGCGATGATGATGAGAAGAAGGGGGAGAGTTCGTCGGCTGTTAAGAGTGCATTGAAGACCCTGGATTCATACTTCGACATGCTTGAGACGAAGAAGAAGAAATCGAGCACGGCTTCCCGGGAGGAGGAGGAGGAGCCTTTAAGTTCTTTACGAGAAGCAGCGGCGATTTCCGTGGAGTCTGGCGGATTGCAGAAGCAAGAGCACGATCCAGCGAAAGAAATTCACAGCCACGCTAGTGGTGAGTCTTTACTCTTGCACTAGGCAGTTTTTTTCTGTTTGTGCTGGGCGGGGCTTTAGTTGACGAGTTTTTATGAAGGCAGGTACTGATAAGTTGAAGTCACTACAGGACGAGTACGCTTTGAAGGAGGAGCTGCTCCTGACAGTACTCAAGGAGTTTGAGCAAGCCGAATCCAAAGAGAAGGAGGAGGCATCGGCAGCCGCAGCAGTGAAAGAAGATCGTGGGAGTGAGTTTGAGTTGGATCCCAACAATGAAGAAACTCCTCTGGTCGTGCTGAATACCACCAGTGATGAGACCAGCAAAGAAGTGCCTTTGCTCCTCATGCGACGGGGATCCATTGTGGTGTAAGTCAAAGCTTGCGTTTTCTCTCTGGTTTTTTTTTTTTTTCTCTCTGATTCCTTTTCCCCAGGTCGACCATTGTGGGGATAAACATTGGTGTCTACATTTTCGGCCTTGCGACGACCCAGCAAACAGAAAACGGCATGGATCTGGCATTCTTGCAAGGAGCAAAAGTGAACGATCTCATTGTCGCCGGAGAATGGTGGAGGCTGATAACTCCAACTTTCCTGGTATGAGCTCTTCCACTCGACTTCAGATCAACTCAAACCGTGTGTGTCTCCCTTTCTCGCAGCACTCGGGCCTGTTGCACCTCTTCCTCAGCTGCTGGGCGACGATATCCTTTGGCCCACTCGTGGAGAGCCTCTACGGCTCCATAGGACTCGTCCTGATTTACCTCCTGGGCGGTGCCATGGGCAACGTGGCGAGCTTTCTCCAGACGTCGCAGCCAACAGTGGGAGGAACCGGCGCGGTGTTTGCCATGATCTGCAGCTGGATCATCTTCCTCGTCAAGAACAAGGAGGCCGTGCGAACGTTTGACACCGGCGAGCTCTTGCAAAAGGTCCTGGTGCTTAGCGGGCTGACCGTGCTGGTGGGGAACGAGCTCCCGGTGGATGCCTGGACTCACGTCGGTGGCGCGCTGGTGGGCATCTTGTTTGGAGCAGTGGCATCGCCCTGGTACCAGATCACGAGCGCCTCTCAGCTGGACAGCAGCAAGACCGATCTCACGCTCGAGAGGCTGGCGCTTGTGTTTGTTCTGTGCTCTGGGGCTTTGTTATGCCTCTACTACCTGGGAGTGGAAGATAACAGCGATCAAGTGTCTAGCTTTCTATAATCAAATACCTTTATTCTTCCACAATTCTTATCAACTCTTGTTTCTCTTGAAATCGCACAGCAGCTTTGAAAAGCTGGTACCTTCATTTTCGTTTTTACATTAGCTGCTGAAGCTAAGTTGCTGGGGGGTGGCAAGACTCGACTGTTGTGGGATTGCCTGTGCAGTAAAATCCAGCTTTGAATGATCGCCATCTTCTTGGAACTTGTTGAACTTGTTGATGATCATCTGGATTTTGCTGGTGAACACCACTACATAGAACGCTGCCGCAAAGGGCGGGATAGCACCACAAAGAAAGCCCAAGATGAAGAAGGTATCAGTGTTGGTGGCATGTACTGGGATGTCGGTCGAGGAATTAGATGTCGAAGCATTGCATGCCGAGAGTGGGAATCCACACAAGAGAGTGTTGCCTGTGAAGGCATCCAGAAACCTGGTGTTGAGGTTGTTGCCAGTAGGAATAGGACCACTGAGATTGTTGTAGGCAACGCTGAAACTGGACAGCTCGGGCATGAACGCAATCTCCTGGGGAATGCCACCCTCGAAGTTGTTGTGCGACAGGTCAAGTGATTCCAGCACCTTAAGCCTGGAGAGTCCAACTGGGATGCGTCCAGAGAATCTGTTGCTCGAGATGTTGAGCTGCATGAGACCCACGAGCCCAGAAAGTGTGAGGGGCAGCTCACCTTCGAGCTCGTTGTCTGAGAAGTCCATGAGCGTGAAGGAATCGATGAGGTTTGATATGCTGACATATGCTCCTCGCAGGGTGATCCCGTAGCCAAACACACCCCCGCCAAAGCTGTACCACTCGGGAGACTTGGAGATCATTCCCAATGCTTTTACGCTCACATTTGTGGCTTTGAAACCTTGCATGAGATCGAGCTGGTCGGGCAAAGCACCAGTGAGGTGGTTGCTGGAGAGATCAATCACTTGAAGATTGGTGAGGTTGGCGATGCATGGTGGGATGGTGCCCCGGATATTGTTGTTTGCGAGTGACAAGACCATCAAGCACGTCCACTTGCAAACTATCTCTGGAAACATGCCCTGGAAGTTGTTCATTCGCAGGTCTAGCGCTTGGATCCCAGTGCAAAGTGGCTGCAGATAGAAGTCATGCTGCCGAGTTTGGCTTGAGACTTGCACCTGGTGCATTTGCAAGGAGATGTTGCTCAAGCTGTATGGGAGAGGGCCGCTGAATTGGTTCTGCCCAAGTTGCAAGGCCACTAGATGTTTAGTGGCTCCAAAGTCCATGGTCACCTCACCAGTTAGCACATTATCTCCTACATTGAGGATGAGAAGCTCTGTGAAATTGTCCATCGCCTTTGGAAGGTTACCATTCAGTTCATTGCTTGACAAGTCCAGCAGCGTTATAGAAGAGCAGCGTCCAAGCTCCGAAGGAATGACACCTGAGAGATGGTTATTGGAAAGATCAAGCCTCGTGAGCTTGGTCAAGTTGCCAATGCCTGGAGGAACTTGGCCAGAGAGCTCGTTGTAAGAGAGATCAAGTCGCCGCATCGACGAACCTGGGGAGTAGTCTTCCCACAAGGCTCCTGAGAACCTGTTCCATGAAAGGTCCAAAGTATTCAGCTTCTCCAGTGAGCCGACCTGTGGAAACAAAGGCCCAGTCAAGTTGTTCCTGAAGACGGTCATGGATGTTAAGTTCCGGAGCTTTGCCATTCCACTCGGTAGGCCACCTTGTAGATTGTTAACGGATAGATCCACGCTCTGTAGGGACAGGCAATCCACCAAATTTTCAGGAATTCCTGTGGACAAGTTGTTGCGGGACATGTCGATCGCTTCAAGAGCGCAGTCATCCCCACCAAAGATCTCAGGTGGGATTGATGCGAGCTGGTTTCTTGCCAGACGTAACACGTTCACAGTTTTAAGAAACTTTGATGCATGAGAAGGGAGAGCAGCGAACTTGTTGAACCTGATGTCTAAATACCCCAGGTTGCCGTAGGCAAAGTCCAAAGGAATGGAGCTATAACTGTTATTCTGGAGGTCCAAACTTTGAAGTGATTTCAAAGAAAGAAGACGAGCAGGGATCTCACCAGACAATTGCTGTGGGAAGCCACCAAGAGCCAGAATTTGAAGATGCTTCATTTGCTGGATTCCTTTTAGTATGCTGTCCATAGAGGTGTTGAAACTGTTGGAGGTCAAGTTTAGCTCCACAATGCTGCTTGAGGCGTAGCCACCAGATTCAATACCAGTAAACTCGTTCATCGAAATGCCAAGGGTCAAGAGCACTGGTAGCTTGAATAGATCGACTGGTACCTTTCCAGTGAACTTGTTGTTTCGAAGCCTGAGACCAACCAAAGACGAGCAATTGCCCAAGCTTCGAGGCAGTGTTCCATGCATGTAGGAATTGTCAGCCAGAGAGAGATTTTGCAGCCTGGAAAGCTGACCCAGGAACTCCGGAATGCGGCCACCAAGCTGGTTTCTCGAGAGATCAATGACTTCGAGAGACGAGCAATTTGCCAAGCTCGAGGGAATTTCCTGGTTGTAATAGTTCCACCGCAGGGAAAGATGGCGTAGACGTTGAAGGCGTCCCAAGAAGCCCGGAATCCGGCCCTGGAAGAGATTGTAGGAGAGATCTAGCACCTCAAGGAGAGAACAGTTTGTGATCTCGCTGGGAATCTCACCGGACATGTAGTAGTTCCGTGACAAGTTGAGCTCTCTGAGCTGTGTTAGCTGGCCAATCGAGGGCGATATCCTTCCCTGTAAGAGAAGAGATGTAAGCCTGATCGAGACGACGCTGGTGGAAGAATCGCATGAGATTCCTGCCCAAACACACATGTTGGCAACATTGCCCGGGTTCCAGTCAAGAAGATTGCCTTCTGTGTCGTTTATACCCTTCTTGAAGTCGAGAAGAACATCCGCCTCGTTTTTGGAGGAGGATCCCAGCATTTGCGAGAGGCCTAGAGCAAAGAACAACCAAAAGACGATTTCCACTTTCTCCATTTTTCTCTTGTAGAACAGGGGTGTGGAACTTGCTTAGTCAGCTTATACACAAGACTTGTCAACCTGTACTACCACGTGTTGTTTGAAATGTAGCCTGTCAATTCTTTATTGCCGAAGTACGTGGAGGTCCACAGCTCACTTCAGCAGCTTAACAGCATACCTAGATTATTTGGTAGTCAGTAAGGGGAGAGAAATGAGAGGCATGCTTGTCAAGGACATCCACCATTTCAAAGACTACGGGTTCACAGACATTGTCTCCAGGCTAAAATTATAGCTTACTTGTCTTATTATTTTTATAGATATTTTCTGTTTAGTTGTTTAACCATCCATACATTGGTGGGTTTGAAACTTTATTTGATTTGGACTTTATATTAGTATATAAAGAGGGCTTAATTGTTAGTGGCCACTGTAGTGTATAGATCAAAAGTCTTGTATAATTTCTATGGCAATGTCTGGTTGGACTAGTGTTGAATAGCCCTTTGCTCCATTTATAAGTTTACACCTAGGGATCTATTTCTTCCAAATCAAGAACCAAATGCCTTATCAAAAGTCTCTTCACAAATGGATGGTAATGAGCATCAAAATGTGGAGTCAAATCCTCTTAAGGTTGCCTAGATTCACCCAATTATGCTGAGGATTGCCAACTTCATTGCCTAGTGCACAAATGAATTTGGAGTTTAAATTATCTGTTGACATCCCATGAAAAACTGCAGGGCTAAAGGTGGAGTAAAGTTTTTAACTATTTGATGATAGTGGAAGTGAGTGAAACCTGAATAATCTAGTGCACTAAGTGTGTGTTTTTGTTTCCTCTATAATCTAGAATTTCCTTTCAAGATTGGATGTGTTAATATCATCTGTAGGCCTCTCTATTGGGGGCCAAATAGTTCTTTTATCTATACTGTAATGTTATTATTAAATCTTATGCTCCCCATCTTTGTGGTGCCGACAGATGAGTACGTGTACGCCAGCATGGACGAGAGTAGCAGAATATTCTGCCTATAGAGGAATACGGAAGTCACATTCGAGATTGAGATTCTGACTGAAAAGGGATGTCCTATTTATCATTTTTTTTTCATTAATAGTTCTTAGATGTGTAGGTTTTTTTTTTTGTTTATAAAAGTAACTTTGTCAATTCTAGGGAAGTTGCTGTTCTCATTGGGAATTACATGTAACTAGTTTAATCCATATTGGTACCAAAATAAAAAGAAAGCCATTGCTAGCTGTCCTACCCCACAACTACGTGAAGGATAAAGGCACTTTGTAGCAAAGACATCATCCACCATGCTTTGGGATTTTGCCAATAATGGTGGTAGATGATTGTTAGATTGCAGTCTTCTACATGGAGTGATCAACATCCATGTGTAGGGAGATTCAATTGTAGGCAATAGTGATCAAACTATATTTAATGATTACCCATTTGGCTTTAAACTTGACTGGCTAGGCAAGATAAAGGTAATTACTGAAAAAGATAATTAACTTCATAGAAATCTACACTTTGAATATCTCAGGTGAAACCAAAGGAAACCACTCCAATGCTTATGACAACAATATTTCATGAATGGGACCTTCACAATGACACTTTGAGTTTGCAAAAGAACATATTATACCATTATATGCAACATGGTGAGAAGGTTTGAGATTAATCCAAGCTTTCTCGATTTCATCCATATGTTGCATAACACCAAATGTTGGCACAGTTGTAAACCTTTTTGTAAGCACAAAGAACTCCTACCAAGCATGTCAGAATAATGGAGGAGGAGGAGGACATAGTTGCCTATATAAAAAAATCAAGCTTAAGATATATCACTATTGACAGTAGCAAAAAAATAAAAACAACTTGCAATGAGTCATGGAATTGACAATGAAGAAATAACTGTAGACTTACTAAACTCTAAATAGATATACACTAAGGTTCACAATTATTATGTAGTATCAATTTAATATATAATAGTTTGTGTATTAGTATTAAATTTAACTTAACTAAAATTCTAAATGCTATTAGTCATAAGCCCTACATGCTTGATTAGTGGATCCAGGGTCAATTCATGCCTTATAGGATCAACTTCATCTTCTTCAATCTTCTGAATGGGATGCCACCATTGGGACACTCCTTCATACATTTCCTAAGCCTTATAGGTTGCAAACAGCTTCATGACATATGAGGATGTGGTTGTTATAATCCTTCTTTGCTCTCTAATATGGGAAGGCTTTTTGTGCACTTGGCTAACAATAATGATGGATTTGTTGAGTTTTCATTCAATTGCCTTCTTTTGAATATGGTAGTGGATAAGAAAGATGTTAGTGGGTAGAAGCAAAAGGTGTGTAACTTCTTTCTTTACAAATTAATTACAAATTAATTTCTAAGTTTATTCTTGGAACTACCATTTTCTATAAAAAAACTGTTGTAAGGCTATATAAGCTGATGATTGTGTTGCTCTTTCTTCATTAAGATACAATAGCTTTATAAACATCATCTTAAATGTGATTGACTCAAAGGTTCTTCACTCAGTGTTCCCTGGCTATCAACACTATTCAAATCACAGCCATGTAAATCTTGTTAGAGGTATTTTGTCTTTCAAAGGGGATTCAAATGGCAAAAAAGATAGGCTAAGCTATTTTTGCACTCGAAAAGGAGTGTGCTTTTAAGGATATTCTTGGGAGATGGTGATGTTAGTGTTTAAAGTAATCTATAATATTTATTCTCAAATGTTTCTTTATTATTATATCCATACTTATCACACAAGGTGTTTTAGTGCACATGCTTAATCCTGATGATATGGACAATATGGACCAAAGTAAATTCCATTTACCTATTTATGTATGGCACAACATTACATGCAACAAGCCTATAGTGAAAGAGCATTCTACCCATTCTTGCTTTTTTGGGCATAGAAGCAAAAAAAGACTAAATATATTTTAATGTTAATATCAATTATGTTATTTAATAGATTATTTTCTTTCTTCCCTCACTGTGGGTAGATATAGTGAGATTATTAGCCAATTTACTAATTATCTATTGAAGAATGAATAAGATAACAAACTTCTTATTCCTACATAACTCTTTAGTAGTTTCTTGGATGTGTGTGCTTGGGTGTTGGCATCTAACCATAAGGCATGGCAGGACCTAACAAATCATTTATGTGCAATAGTGGCTTTGTGCTGCAACTAGTTCATAAAGTATACTTTTGCTATACATTTTTGTATTGTTCTTATCTTTATATTGGCTATTTTATCCCTACCAATCCATGGGAGGTGTCAATGAACTATTCTTGTTGCATTTAGAAGAGGTTAAACATCTCCAAGAACTTTGAAGACTTTGGCTTTTACAAGGATTGCAACAATAAAAATTACTTCAGATTGCTTTATGTATATATCTTTCATGTTGTTGATAGTTCTAAACACAAAGCACTATAAAAGACTGCCATATTGATCAGGCTTATGGCCAAATAAATGTTCAGATCTTGTGAGTTGCCTCTTACTATTAGGATACTTGAGGAATCTTCCTTGAAGTAGGAATAGGACCACTGAGATTGTTGTGGGCAACACTGAAACTGGCATGAACGCAATCTCCTGCAGAATGCCATCCTCGAAGTTGTTGTGCGACAGGTCAAGTGATTCCAGCACCTTAAGCATGGAGAGTCCAACTGGGATGCGTCCAGAGAATCTGTTGCTTGAGGTGTTGAGACCCACGAGCCGAGAAAGTGTGAGGCAGCTCACCTTCGAGCTCGTTGTTTGAGAAGTCCATGAGCGTGAAGGAATCGATGAGGTTTGATATGTTGGTGTATGCTCCTCGCAGGGTGATCCCGTAGTCAAACACGCCCCCGCCAAAGC